AAAAAAAAAACCGGTATCAAGTCAATCGACATGAATCGATCGAAAAACCAAAACGTGAACCGATCGACGTAATTCGATCGACTCACAGGTTTGTCGATCGACTCATAGGTTTGTCGATCGATTCACAGGTTTGTCGATAGACTCACAGGTTTGTCGATCGATTCACGGCTTTTGTCGATCGATTCACGGCTTTCGTCGAACGATTCACGGCTTTCGTCGAACGATTCACGGATTTTGTCGATCAATTCACGGCTTTTGTGTTCGATTCGCGGGTTTGTCGAACTGAACACATTCGAAAATATGTAGGAAAAGCAGCGGACTGAGCGGAATTTGTCGGTGTCTCCGCTCCGATCTGTTGGCGACAGATCGGAGCGTCCTCCATCGGTGTTTTCCGCAGCGTCTCTCCGCCGCTAAGGTGCCGTCCCCGCGCAAAATCATTAGACAGATTTATCGGCGTCTCTCCGCGGCGCACGGTGGATCGAGTCAATGGGACGGGTCGGTCATCGCGCATCACGCGTCTTATTTTCTCTGATTACGGAGATTTCCCACCCTTAGAATAGAGCAAATTACACTCATTTAATGTATTTTTCGTCGTAGATTCCATTTTTGATCATTTTTCAGCCGAATAACGAGTTTTAATACGAGTTTGACACACTTTTTCATGACTATTGAAATTGGGATCCTTTGATAGCTGTTTTTTCACGTTACTTTCGGCGAATGGGACCGTAAGCATCTTACATAAAGAATAATTTTGCAGAACTTGACTCAAGAACATTACTTGAGGAGTGAGGGAGGGCGGCTTTACAGCCCCCTCACCACGAAGGTTGCCATATTTCTTCCAATTTCTGCTAACATCGTTTTTTGTTCATGTTAATTGGTTTCTCGCAATTGCATACTGACACATATACGGAACATTCTGATAATGTTCATTTTTCTTCTCTTTTCCTCCAGCCAGTCAATAGACGTTTTCATTTTTATGAACTCTCTACTCTTTCAGTTATTCAACAAATATGCATATTTCAAAAAATAGATCAATATATTAAAGAAATAAAAAAGAGATGTATATACTGTAGCTTCTTTTTATCGAGTCATCCTAGAATATTATTATAGGTACCTACTTATCACCACATAAAAAAATTGAATGTGCTGGGGAAAAAAAAAAAAATTATATCATCCTCCATTATTTCGTTTTGTTCCTCGATGTTTGGAGTGAAGTTTGAAACATATTTATTAAATAAATATTAAAATAGGAGGAAAATTATTTTTCATGCAAGTTCTGATCCCTTGAAGAACCTCTGAGAAGGACTTTTGTCTCTTGAAGAAATTTCTTGTATTTCTTCTTTTTCAACCCACAACCAATTTTTACTTTCTCGCTACCCTAGGGTAGAGAAAGTATTGTCATCCTCCAAGGGGGGAAAAAAAGTTGACATTTTATTTGTATGGAGCTTATGAAAGAGTTCTAGGTATGTTGCAGACATTTTGCAAGAAACGGAACGTGTGAAATATACAATGCGCAAAACATACACCTTAAACTTTATCGCACAGTAGAACGCTGATCGAATCAGCTTCAAAGACTAACAGAAGGCTAATGTATCGTCCAAAAATATCTACAAGTAAGCCAAAATCAGTAATCAGTAGAAAAATTATCGAGATTGAAGGATATCGTGTGATGCACGATTTTATTGATGACAATAGAGCAAGATCGGATTCCCAGCAGGCGCGACTTCCTATCATTCAAATGGACCGTTTTCGCAGATTAGCGGATATTAGCGGCTAATTATTACATAATATCATTCCTGATAGTGTACAGGAGGCAACCCAACAAAGGGTTTTGCGGACACTTGTGGACATTTTTTTATCGAGCTATTTTAACATTTTTTGGGGCGTTTTTTTAAAGCAAGCTTTGGAGGTGGTTTTGGTCCTCCTAAAAATATGCCAATGCACATTAATGATAAACCAAAATGTTCCTTAAAGGGAGGAGAATAAGCGTGTTTAATTGAAATTTTGATTTATCTGCCACAGAACTCATGCAAAAGCGAAATAAAACCTTGAGAATTAGACGGCAAATTTGATACCACCTGCAATGTCAGCTTTAGGCAACCCGCATGTCAAAGCGGAAGGGTTCAAAGATCCTAGAACCGTGGATACATTCATTTTGGAAGCTTAACTACTAGAAAACCAAGAAAAAATATTTAAAATCAGACTTTTTTTTTGTCGCCTATGACCGGCCTCTATCATTGACTCGATCCACCGTGCGGCGTCCAGGACGCCGCGGACAGACGCGCCTTACGTTGCGTACCTTAAAGCATCCGCGACACCTCTGGAAGTGTTCGCGACACCTGTGGAAGCGTCCACGACAACTTTAAGGCGTCCGCGACGCCTTCTTAAGCGTCCACGACACCTCTGGATGTGTCCGCGACGCCTGTGGAAGCGTCCGCGACAAGTTTTAGGCGTCCGCGACGCCTGTGGGAGTGTCCGCGACACCGCTTGAAGTGTCCGCGACGCCTTTTGAAGTGTCCACGACGCCTCCTTTAGCGTCCGCGACGCCTCCTTTAGCGTCCGCGACACCTCCGGAAGTGAACTATTTCTTCCTCTATTTATTTAATTTCCGAAGTTGCAAATGTCTATAAAGTTTTTTGAAGTAAGCAAAGATCAAGTTGATGCAATAGTGGAAGAAAGAAAAGAATCTTTTTTACGAGAGTCTCCGTTGACACCATGACACCTAAAGACCGCAGAAAGGTTTTATTCTTGAATTGTAATCCATCGCTTTGAAGGGTGGAAAACATCGTACAGACTGAAAGCAAATCTTGGTAAAAGGTCATGAAAAGTCAGGGAGAAAGAAAATTCAATAGGTCAGGGAAAACCTTGAAAGTCAGGGAGAATGAAAAGAAAAATTTGCTAGACACCCTGGGGCATAGCTCCTAAAGCTCTCAGATGATCTTTTTGTTGATTGACAAAAATTACTACAGATAGGAATATTTGAGGACACAGGAAATTGCAGCACTGTAAGAGGTTGCTGAAAGGGAAGGTTTTCACAAATATAAAAGTCAATTATGTCAATAGTGTTACAAAAGAACAGAACTGAAATCATTGTTTATCAAGTTGCAACTTTACATTCTTTAGCAATTTTTTTATACCAACAGTTGACGTCTATGAAATCTCTGATGATTTCTCCACAGGGCAGGGTGTCCCTGGATTAAGTATAAATATTGAAAGAGTCGATTCTTCGGGTCAAAAAAAGACGTTTTTGTGGTGTAACTTTTCTTTCAAAAACGCTTTCCCTGGGGGCCACCCCCCACCCCTTTTGCGCCCACCTGTGCTCCATTCAGTTCCTATTATCGCGAAAACGATGAGTCATAGGAAATAAATGCAAAGCACATTATCTCAATATTTTTAAGCCCTGAATCTGAAGGTGCTGTTAAAAATTAATTTTTCTCCCCAGAAACATTAATTTTGACCTTTTTTAGGCCTAATACCCCCTTAAACCCCCCCTCAAAGTGAGTTTCCCCTTTTATAGAGGTCAAAAATTAAAGGAACGCCAAAAATTACTCCCAGTTACCGATTTCCACAAATATTGGTTGATAAACATTGACACAGCGTTAAAAAGACGATTTTTTTTCTCCGACTTTGGGGAGTCGTGGTCCAGGGAAAGCGTTTTTGGAAACAAAGTTATACCACAAAAACGTGTTTTTTTTACTCAAAGAATTGACTTCTTCAATATTCGTACTTAATCCTGGGATACCCTGTATGATCATCTCTATGTACCTTCTAAAGAATTTGTTCAGAAATAATGCTCTTGATATTAAGCCATACTTAAGGTTTGAAATTTTGAAACACAGCAATCTATGCACATGTTTTACCATTGAATTATTATTTAGTACGATCTGTTTGTTTTGAAATGATGAAAAAATTAGAAAGTCGACATTTTTGAATGACAACATCTGCGTTTATCTGATCAAGATAAAAAAAATGTTAAATGAAATCAAAGGGAAAAATTGTGGTGAATTAGTGAGTTTGTCCATGTTTCACTCATTTCTATTTTTTAATGACCTTGTTTCACTCCACTTCATTTTTTTATCACCAGCTTTTCTTTGTTAAAGTGTCAAATTACTTAAATTTATCAAGGTGTGTTGTTGAAATTGATCGATCAGCGGAAGTGTGGGTAAAAACTCATTCCGATCTAATCATGATTCAGAAGATATAATTTTTTTAGTTCGAAAAAAGCTCTTAAAATTTTTGATAGAGGAAGAGCAAACTTCCAAATTTTCCCTGCCTTCACAAACTTAATCTGTCAGCCCACATTCCCTGTATCCAACCCTATAAATCTCTGTAAGAGCCACTTGTTTTTCCTCAACGAAATTTGATTTCGTTCTCTAAAGCGAGAGAAATAAATTAATTTATTAAACCTCTTTCTAAGCACAAAACAGTTTTCAAGATTTGGCAACTCTCATGTTAATTCATTTTATTTACCGCTCAAATTCTATGTACCCTTACCTTTTTCCCTCCAGCATTTGAGGCAGCTTGGAGTTGTTGGCAAATTTGTTGAATTCTTCGGCCCAGGTGTCGCAGAGCTTTCAATTGCTGATAGAGCAACAATCAGTAACATGTGTCCTGAGTATGGTGCCACAGTAGGATTCTTCCCCATCGATGTAAATAGCTTGAATTATCTCCGTCAAACAAGTAAGATTTATTATTGTTCCCTCCTTATCTCGTCACTTTCCGGCCTAAGTATCACAAGCGCCATGCAACGGTTGAAAGTTTCTACCACCATTTTAATTATTTTAACAGGAAATTTTTCAACGAAGCTGTTCAAAAAATTCACTGAGTTATCTTTGTGCTGCTGATAAAATTCAGTAAAATTTTCAAACAGATTCAACCAACAATATTTCTATAAAAAAATAAAATGGCAGCGGAAATTTTTAAGCGTTGCATGGTGCTTCTGATTCTATGGCCGGGAGGGGATGATCTCAGTTTGAAAAGTTCTCACCGAAAGTGGATGAACCACTTTTGCTTGTTCATTCTGTCAGCAGGACAAACATATTAGGAAGTTTTTTTGTGAATTTATTCCGTGTTTTTCTCTCCTGACCGTAGCATCAAAATTACTTGCAATTTCAATGGATCAAGCATTAAAGTTTAAGACGCTGGATGCGAGAAGGACACACCTTAGTTGCAGTGTTACAGAATCTTTGTCGCTAATTTATGTCTTGTAGAAGAATCTAATGGGTGAGTTCTTCATAACTTATTCTGCATAAAATTGAATCAGAGGGAATGAAAACACACCAACTTGGAAGAATGAAAATATTCAGGAGATACAAGTAACTGCGTAGCAGGTGAAAAAGTTGCCACAAGAAAAAGCTTTTCGGTGTAAGAGGCAAGTACTAGACATGGTCTTTAAAGTGTCTCAAAGAAAAGCTCTTTCAAGTGATAACTTGTCCACCTATTGTGCATTTTGTGGGTCTCCATAATATTTTCATGTTCCCGTTCTGGTGTGTTTTCATTCTCACTAATTCAATCGTAGAATCATGCAGAATGTTAAAACTTCAATGAAATGAGTGCATACTGTTTCTTTACAATGAATGGAATATTTGCAGAGACTCTGAACCACAGCAACCAAGAAGTGCCCTTATTGCTAGCTTTTCAATCTCTAGCGACATGTTCCAGCTTAGTGTTTCTTATAAGTTAAGAATAAGTAAGGAAATTAATTGTCCAAAAACCTTGAAAAGTTAGGATGGTTAAGGAAAATGGTCATTCAGTTAAGTCAGATTTATTTTTCAGGAAAAAAGGAATGATCTACTTTGATTTACAACAGAAAGTCAAATTAATAGAGCAGTATTTGCAACAAGTGAACGTTTTGCAACATAAATCACGTAGCTTTTCTTTTCTCTGAGTCTTTGTGAATGGAACAAGTTACCATTGCAGCAAAAAATATCAATGAGTTAAACCAAGAACTATTGATCAATATCGAAATTTAGGATAACAATCAATATTAGGGTTCAGTATTAATAACTGAATCGTAAGTTTCAATTTTCAAAATTGCAAAAGCTTGAACTAACTACTTGTCCATTTCAGATCGCGGTGAGAGGAAAGTACAACTGATTGAAAAGTACCTGAAACTAACAAATATGCTGCGCGACTTCAACAATGCAGACCAAGACCCTGTGTTCACGCAAGTTGTGGAGTTAGACCTTTCCACTGTTGTATCATCAGTCAGCGGCCCAAAACGACCTCATGATAGAGTGTCCGTCTCTGATATGAAGCAGGACTTCTTGAGCTGTCTCACAAATAAGGTGAGTCTTCAAAACCTATTAGCATGCTCATAAAGACGCCACTGTTCCTGAAATACTGCAAAATGACTCCGGAAAGATGCAACCGTCTTTTCGGATTAGTTACTTTATTCAACAATTCTTTTGTCCGTGAATTTACTTATACAAGAAACTCGTTCAAGAATAATGAATGAAAAAATTTGTGCATTATTTGGAAATTTGAAAATGCGAATCAGCTCGTAAAATGCCGGTTTGGAATTAGATGAAACCATCTTGTGTTTTATGACAATATGATGAATCAATCATCAGTCTTGAATGGAACATTGAATCAAAATGAATGTTCATATTGAATATCTCATTGAAATCTTGTTCAATTTTCATCTATTACTCCGAGGTAGATTCACTCTCTCTTGTTGTTGTGAGTACAATCGTAAAATCACTTATTCTTTTATTTTCTTCTCGTTACAAGCATTTCCGACGTTGCTTTTGTCCATAAGCGGGAAAAAAGTAAAACTGGAAATTGAATTTTGTGAAACTTTTCTCCAATCGTTTTAAGCACTTGATATACACCTGCACCTGGTGCTTGATAGCACCTGGATTATTGGGCACTTGATTGATAGGTAAAAAAAACTTTTGAAGATACTACCTATTGAAACATCTGCGGAGTTGTAGAGATGTGTGTTGCATAGACTTTGACGTAGTCTGGAGTGGAAGTTTATAGGTCGAACTGTGTTGATATGGTCCTAGCCCATGCAGCGATATCTACCCGGTGATGAGAAAAAATACATCAACCTTGATATTTACCTCTGAGTGGTGAATAGAGACCAACAAGTTGCTTCTTATTATGTCCTCTAGTATTTATCATCAACTCCATGCTTGTTAAATTATGAGATTCGGTGTCATTTCCTCAACTCATCAGCGGTATGTAACCGGTGATGAATGCCACACCTACCAATTAAGGACCGCTGACGAGCGCAAAGAATGTAGGTGTTTTTACTCTGTATGAAGCACTTGTCCCTTGAATCATGAATTATTTTACCTATAGTTCTTCCACAACAATTTTAAACTTCAAAGAGAACTTTGTCGGTAACACTGCACTTTGCTAGAGAGATCCTATCAAGAACTAGAACCAGCTTTCTAAATCAAATTCCTCGAAGCACTGTATAGCTAGTATTTGTTGGTGAATTCAAATAATGGTTTTTAAATTAAAAGTCAGACTTGACTGATACGTGTAATTAGTTAAATGATCAGATTTGAAATGATTGTTAAAAAGGAGGAAAAAATACTATCACTTCCTGGATCTATTGAAACATTGAATTGATCAATTGGACTGCATTTTGCAATTTGGAACTATAAATTCTGGCCCGGTTTAAAAACAACGTATGTGCCGTTAGTTTCCCTATGCACATAAGTGTTTTTCCAGATGAGCCAGAATTTATAGTTCCAAATTGCAAAATGCAGTTCAATTTATGATTTATAAACTATCCAAAAATTCACTACCCACTTCAAAAATGCGATAACTGCCTTGTGTTCTGCACATGTTCATGTGTCAGTTTATGTTCGCTGCTCTTCTGAATTGCCCGATGGTGTCTATACAGGTGTATTTTGTTCCAACATCTTCATGAGGCTCTTAGAGTTGAAGAAGAGTTGCGATTTTCACTAACACATAAGCAGCGATTGATATCCAGTGATGATCACAACTCGACATCCACTGGGTACAAAATGCCGCTTAATGATAGTGACCTTGATGAAGTGAACTCAGAATCCTGGTAGTAGTAGATGGCTCGTTTTGAAGATGTTTACCTGTTTATGCAGCGATATTTACCCGGTGATGAAGCAAACATCTACCCTGATATTTACCGCTGCACAAATCAAGGCAATAACTTTTTGCGATGATGCTCTCACCTTATTGCCTAATCTGAAACAAAGAAACAAAACAATTGAAACACAGACATTTTTCCAATGTAATATGCTTATTCGGGGAGCAAACTTCTCTGAGATGAAAGCACCTGTTAAAAAATAAGTACCTCATTGCACATTACTGAAAACTTTACGTTTTTAAATACTATTTTTTACCCTAGTATCAAAGTAAAATTATTACCCAGTCATTGATGAAGCCATTTAGATTTCTCTTAAATTTTGTTGGTAAGAAATTAAATGCAGGAAAAATCAAAGTCGTAAATGAAACAAATCCTAATTTGCATTCGAAAAAAAGGAAGCAAGGAAACCTAAAAAACGGGAAAATCCCACAAAGTCTGTAGTTTCTTTCTTGCCAGCGCTTGACAGGAACACTACTGATGTCTAGAGAAATATTTTTAGTCCCTGTCAATTTCTATTATTTACAAATCAGCTATACTACTGGTTCAAATGCCATAAAAATACTTATGAGCACAGATTTTCTTACAAGTATCACTTTACTATACATCATGAAATCACAAAACCTGAAGTCTACGTCGGTTTAGCACAGGATATTTGTGTCAGTGATAATTTACGCCAAAATCTTCACACAATCCATGAATTCTTGTCCGAGTAGTCCGTAATTTAGCTCTCTTTGGCCGGCTTGGGAACAAGATGTTGCCGATGAAATGTCTGCTTCCAAGCAGCGATATCTACCCGGTGATGAGAAAAAGAACATCTACCGCAGTATCAATCACTGCCTGAGAAGTAGCTTATTTTCTGCTTGTTTGGAGACTAGTTCCTCCGTCTGCCAGAGTGATGCATGTCCTCTTGCCTCTTCCGATGCGTCCTCTGCAAGCTGCTTAGATTTTGAACTTTACTGTGACGATGATTCGGAAAAGAAATCGGCTTTTATTTCTTTCTAAAGATTAAATTATTCACTGAACGTCATTGCCTACTCCTTTATAAATAGTGTGAGAATAGTAAAAATATAACACCTGAAACTAATTTTGCTTGCGTTACTTTAAGAGAGATTGAATTATATCGAAAAAAGAATCTACTATTGAAACATTTTTTGATTGCTTAGCTTTTAAAAGCTGGAGATAATTTTGTTTAAATACTTGTTACTGCTTACAGAATTCTGTATCTGTTTTTTAAGCATGCAGAAGTTTTCCAGACTCCTCTAAAAATGAAGATTGAACACTCTAGATTTTACATTAAACTATCTGCTCTTCTTTGGGCATCTTCATAATTGGACGTATTTCTGTCAAACGGAACTATGTGCATTATAACGTGAGCCCCGATGTACATATATTCTCATGGGTCTCATGGCTCATGTCTTAATGCACATAGTTCCGTGAGACAGAAATACGTCCAATTGCCCAAAAAATTCATCAATTTCCTTGTAGAACACAGTCTCTGAAAATAAACTGATGCTCTGTGGTCGAAACGTCTCCTAATAATTTTTCCTGTCATCCTTGTCGATCAATTCTTCATCCAATCGAATCACCATTCGCTGTAGATCATTCTTGATTTCAGGAGCGATATCTACCCGGTGATGCAACCAAATAAAGCATCGACCGCAGTATCCACCACTCCTGAGTATCCAAGAAATTTTGGTTTGAATGAAAATATTGAGCGGTTTCTCAGTTTTCTAAAAATGATGAGTAGTGGATGTTTCGCTCATTTCAACAGGCGGCGATAAACACCCGGTGATGATTAAAAAGTACATCAACCGAGCGTTGACCTCCGCATGTTATAATGGCTTACTAATATCTTGAAATTTTTGTTGGGTTGATCATAAAATTCCGTCTTGAGAATCATATTAGGAGGTTGGTAGATGATTGCGTTTGTTAAATTGTTCTTGCGTGGATTGTTGTCGGTACGATTTGTTGTGTAATTGGTTGTGAGTCAGTTCTATCCTGATTTCAGGAGCGATATCCACCCGGTGATGTGTGTATTAAAACCATCTACCGCAGTGTTTATCACTGCTAAAGGATCAGGGGGAAAAATCTAGTGTTTGTTATTATATTTCTCAGCTTTGTCCCTTGCTGCAGCAGTGAAGTTCTCTTGAAATCCTTTTCTTCATTAATCGCTATGCCCAACGTTGTGAATTTCATCGAATTCTGAGTCAGAATTAAAGAATGAGGAAGCAGCTCTGATGAAGGATGACAAAATTTTGCCCCCTTTGTGGTATGCCATGGTATTATTGGTTCCTTGATGAATTAGGTTGGATCACCTGATTTCAGTAGCGATATCTACCCGGTGATGGAAACTATTCAAATCATCTACCGCAGTATTTACCGCTACTGAAAATTCAGGTAAGTTTGATGGAGTGACCTTGATTTCACCATTTGAAAGCATGTGAGCACCAATGCACTTAAAATAATTTGAAGTGTTTAAAGTTCACAAATATGTATGATGTTGCTAAAAGGGAAACAGGTATGATTACACCTGCAAAAGTAGTAAAATTGAGCAAGTGAAACCTAGAGAAGAAGTCTGTCAAAATTTTAAAAGCTCCCTTGCATATAACGTATCTAAAGTAGAACCATAATTCTATCTCAGTTTTTTTCAACCCAATCTTAACTCTGCGCATGCACTTGAGCGCAATTGCGACTCGGTAACTGTGCTTTGAACTGAAGTGCAGAGTGAATAATTCTGTGATTTGTTATCAAACTATGGTACTGTCTTCGATATTTGTATTACTTTTTTTAAATGAGAGACAGTTTTAAGGTTTCTCTAAACACTATTACACTTTGTCTATGAATCTCTTCTCTCCTGCTCTGCCTTAAATTACATCCCAATGTTGGCATAACTCATGAAAGTTTTGAGCATCATTAAAGTTGGTTGATTTTGTACGATTGTAATGCCAATTTAAAGCTTTTGGAAAGAGAAAGTCACTCAACAAACAGCTTTATTAAATGTTCTGAAATTTGTGATGCAGAACTATGCGTCTTGTAAATATATTGAAGATTTGCATCATGGTAGATATTACATCAATTAATGAAATATTAGAGGATAAAATTGCACCAATAGGAAAAAAGAGAAGAGCATTTAAATTTAAATCCGGCAGCGATAGAGAAGCGAAATTACGTCCCCTGTTCAAAAAATTAGAGCGGAAAAGAGCC